CAAATTAGCAAAAAACCATGTTCTCAATCGAATTTCAAAATGAAAAAAATAGTACTTATTCTCTGATTACCACTGAGTAATATTCCGTTGAGAAAAAAAATGGCACGGCTTGGACAACTGACTTATTTAAACATTGTTTATCCCGAGCAGAACGGGATTTGCATGTGACGTCACGCGCAGCGGTCCTTTGACGCGGGAATCTAAGAGAATATCAGAGGAATATCAAAAATAATATTAAAATAATGTTTAAGTATTTCTTATGGACGAAAAAAACTAACAATTTAATTAATTGTTTAAACAATTAATTTTTTTTATTTTTTCATAAACAGTAGTTAGGGCTAGAAATTTCTAGTCTTCTCTCAATTTCTCAATTTTTCAATGAGTAAAACATCTACTAATGGTAAAAAATAAATTAATTAAACATTGTTTAAACAATAATTAATTGTTGTTATTTTTTTATAAACGGTACTTAGGGCTAGAAATTTAAAGTTTTTTCAATCCTGCAATTTTTTATGGAAAAAAATCTACTGATAAAAAATAAAAAATTATTTATTTAAAAATAAATATAAATTAAATATATATATATATATAGGTTTTTTACTATAAAAAGTTGCATTATTGGCAAAAATGCAGGAATTTATAATTGATTATAAATTATAGATGCCCTAAATTTATAATCAATTGAAAAATTATAAATGCTCTAAATTTATAATCAATTGAAAAATTATAAATGCCCTAAATGTATAATCAATTGAAAAATTATTAATTGTTTATCAATGGTTAAATAACATTCTTTTAGTTTTACTATTATAATTAAGTGTTTAAATTATAAAAAAAAATTTAAAATTGAGAAAAACTAAGGAATTTCTAGTTAAGTACAGTTAATTAAAAAATTAACAAAATAAATTGTTTAAATAATTAGATAATTTTTAGTTTTGTTATACTTAAGTGCTTTCGTTACAAAAAATGCATAATATAGAAAAAGAACAAGTAATTTCTAACTCTAATTGCAGTTATGAAAAAAATAACAACAATTAATTGTTTCAACAATTTAATAAATAAGTAATTTTTAGTTTTAATTATTAATATATGTTTACGCCTGAAAAATTGCATAATTGAGAAAAAACTTTAAATTTCTAGCCCTAAGTACCGTTTATGAAAAAAATAACAACAATTAATTATTGTTTAAACAATGTTTAATTAATTTATATTTTACCATTTGTAGATGTTTTACTCATTGAAAAATTGAGAAATTGAGAGAAGACTAGAAATTTCTAGCCCTAACTACTGTTTATGAAAAATAACAAAAATTAATTGTTTAAACAATTAATTAAATTGCTATAGTTTTTTTCGTCCATAAGAAATACTTAAACATTATTTTAATATTATTTTTGATATTCCTCTGATATTCTCTTAGATTCCCGCGTCAAAGGACCGCTGCGCGTGACGTCACATGCAAATCCCGTTCTGCTCGGGATAAACAATGTTTAAATAAGTCAGTTGTCCAAGCCGTGCCATTTTTTTTCTCAACGGAATATTACTCAGTGGTAATCAGAGAATAAGTACTATTTTTTTCATTTTGAAATTCGATTGAGAACATGGTTTTTTGCTAATTTGTTATAAATAAATAATTTGTTTATTTATTAAATCTCAATATTTTTTTACGAAAAAAATTTTATTCAAAACTTTGACTCAAATAAAAAAGAATGCCTCTTGAATCATTAAAATCGGTTAACAAGTTTCTTTTTAATTAATTTTTTAAAAAAAAGTGTCTGAAAACTTTAATTGTTTATAACAATAACAAAAAATTTTTTTTTGGCAAATCCTTTGACATAGTGTTTTTTTATGTAAAGCACTATAGAAAAAACAACATTTTGGCCAAAAATAAATTTTTTGAATTTTAGGTGGCACGTTTCAAAAATTCTTACTCATTAGCAAGACTTGAGCCATTAATAAGACAAACCATGATCAAACCTTGAGCAATGGTCAAGACTTGAGCGATAATCAAGTCTTGAGCTACAGTCAATACTTGAGCTATAATCATGTCTTGATCAATTAAAAGACTTTGCCATTATCAAGTTCTGAGCTATTAACAAGACTTTAGCTATAATCAAATCTTGATCAATAATCAAGTCTTCATTCATTAAGAATACTTCAGTCATACGGAACAAAACAGACATCTTCCGTATCTAACTTGTTGGATTCTAGAACGCAATCCAATTAATTGGGTGAAGCAGCTTTTTTTCGGTTGATACATCCAACATTTTAGCTGAATTTCCTTTGCTATAGTTGGGGTACTTTTTCGCTTGGATACATTACACAGCCACACAAAAAAAAAGTTCTGATCTGGGGGTCTCACTATGTAGACTTTATGTTTTTTGGGTCGCTGAATCTGAATCCGAGGTCCATTTAACCCCATCAGATCAGGATTTTGACATAACCTCAAAAAACCAATATGGCGGACACATTTTTGAAAAGTTCATCGGATTCGCTTGAAATTCGTTACTCGGGGGTTTTTGGGGTCGCTGATTACGAATTTCAAGCGAATCCGATGAATTTTTCAAAAACGTGTCCGCCATATTGGATCCGCCATTTTGAATTTTTGAAATCAGACTTCAAATTCGTAATCAGCGACCCCAAAAACCCCCGAGTAATGAATTTCATGCGAATCCGATGAACTTTTCAAAAATGTGTCCGCTATATTGGTTTTTTGAGGTTATGTCAAAATCCTGATCTGATGGGGTTAAATGGACCTCGGATTCGGATTCAGCGACCCAAAAAACATAAAGTCTACATAGTGAGACCCCCAGATCAGAACTTTTTTTTTTGTGTGGCTGTGTTATCCAATAGTTAGATATGTTAACTAATATATATTGGTTCGCGCTCCAGAATGTAACGAATTGGATATAGCAGCTAACTCTGTTTGTCAGTACATGATTAAGTTTTGAGCCATCAACAAGACTTGAGCCATGATCAAGACTTGAGCGACAATCAAAACCTGAGCTACCAACAAGACTTGAGCTATAACAAATTTTTATTCATTAACAAGACTTGAGCCATTATCAAAAATTGAATCATAATTAAGACTCCAGCCTTAAGCCATCATTAAGCCTTGAGCTATAATAGAGCCTTGAGTCATAATTAGGCTTTATGTCATAACCAAGCCTTAAGTCATCATTAAGCCTTGAGCCATAACCAAGCCTTAAGACATCATTAAGCCTTGATCCATCAACAAGCCTTGAGCCTTGAGCAAGCTTTGCTATTTTTTTCCATTTTTTAAGACTCAATATGATGTAGCTAAAAAAACTACTGATTTTCGGGAGTTGTGCCATTAGCATTTTTCGTTTATAAGATTATAAGCTACAAAACTGCAAATTTTAAATAAATTTGTTCGAAACTTTTTCAATGTATTTTGTGCGGGGTCCTTTTGACTTAGGGTATCGACTCATTGCAGGACCCTCGGAAGGCCTTAATAGTTTCTCTTTTGATCTGTAGGTTAAGTAATAGGTCAAATTTGACCTAAATGTTGACCTCTTGGGTAGCCTAAGTAGGGCCCCTTTGGACCTGTAGGTTAATAAGTAGGTCAAATTTGACATAAATTTTGACCAAGGGTATCGACCATTTGCAGGGTCCTCAGAAGGGCTTAATAGTGGCTCTGTTGACCTATAGGTTAAGAAATGGGTTAAATTTAACATAAATTTTAACCTAGCCCATATTTGGCCTCTTTTTGGCCTGTAAGTTAAAAATTAGGTCAACTTTGACCTAACTTCAAAGGGTAGCCATAATTTACCTAGATCCGACAATGTGTCATGTGGACTAACCAGAAAATCCTATTAGTAAAAAAGGATAGACGTATCTTCTTACTGTAGGAAAATTAGTTAATTGTGTTTTTGAGTTTATAATTATCGAGATATACCTAATTATATGCAACCTGTTTAACGTCTCGGTCATCGTTAAAAGTCGGTGAAAAATGTAATATTTCGGGGAATCGCGTAATGGATTCGGAGAGTGGGTTGAATTGGGGGGTAATCTTTTCGCTGCATTAAATAATCGCCCCTCTAATTCTCTTTCTCATTCGCTTTCTAAAAATTGATAAGGGAAAATCCGCGCTATACGCGAAGTCCGATGCCGTAGACCTCAAGGTAAACTTTTACAATCTCGATACAGTTTCTTTTTATTATTTAATTAATTTTGTCTCATTTATTTATTTTTGTATTGTTTAAATTTTAATTAGTGTGGCGCTTTTAAATCATGCGATGGGCGGAAATATATGTCGGGTGAAATTAAGGAGTGAAATGGAGAATTAGATGGGCGATTTCAAGTGACATGCAATCCTGTTTAAGTGCAATGCCATAACTCGAGACCTCAATAATATTTTGGTGTACAAAAGACCTACGATATTCTCCGAATACACGCCGTTCGACATTTCCCGCCAATGAAAGAAGCGATGAGTATTCTACTTATATTTGTTTTATCACTCGTCATAATTCCCCACAAAATATGTTTATCAATATTCGAGCGTCACAGAAAATCCCGGGGCTCAGGAATTCTTTCCAAAAGACATCACAGAAAAAACCTAACTCAAAATGAGTAGCATATGATCTTCTTATATGCATGTATTTCACTGAAAGGCGCATTACAGTATAAATCCTGTAGATGACAAGCGATCGCATACATACATAGTCGCTTGATTAGGTCCTAACCGTCCTAACCTTATTTTTGCTGTATTTTGAAATTAAAAATAATTTCAAATAATAAATAATATAAAATTATGACTGTCGGTTATTTCTTTAAAAGAACTTATATTTTGAACAGTAACTTGAATATAAATACAGGAAAATAAAGAGTCTTGTTATAATGATTTTGCACTAGAACACAAGAGAGATAAAGTTTGATTAACACTATAGGTGGCGTATTTATCACGTATACCCGTGTTGCCCTCTTTAGAACGCGGGAACATCACCCACTTTCAACGCGGGTTAATTATCAACACTTGATAGTCAAAATCCTTCGATGCACTTTTTGTGACTTGGTTCGAAGAGTTCCTTGGTGAAAACATCTGCGATCATGTTGCTGCTGGCTAAGAACTTGACGTCAATGTCTCCATTTTTGTAGACTTCCCTCACATAGTGATATTTTATATCAATATGCTTCGAGCGTGAATGATAAATTGGATTTCGCATTAACTTCTGCGCTCCTTGATTATCACAATAGACGATGGTTGGTTCAGCGCGTTCTTCTAAAAATCCAATTTCTTTCAGTAAATTTTACAAGTAGACTGTCTCTTTGGCCGCTTCTGCAAGTGCCATATATTCGGCTTGAGTACTTGATAAAGCAACGCTTTTTTGCTTACGAGCTTCCCAAGTAACTACTGCATCTGCTAATTTGAAGACAACTCCGGTGTGAGAAAAGCTACCGTCGATATCACTAGCCCAGTCGGCGTCAACGAATCCAATCAGCTTTTCTTGAGTTTTTTTGAAGGTCAATCCATGATCTGAGGTACTTCGAAGATAACGCAAAACGCGCTTTGCTGCAACCCAGTGCATTCTTCCTGGATTCACATTAAATTGACTGAGAACACTAATCGTGTAGGCTATGTCCGGCCTTGTTGATACCACTAAATATATCAGTGCTCCGATGAGTGACTGATAGGGCACGTTTCTCATTTCATTGATTTCTTCGTTTGTTTTCAGTGCATCTTCTATCGAGAGTTTGTTATTGCCATCCAAAGGAGTTTTCATCGGTTTTGATTCTTTCATTCCAGTTGCTGGAATGAAACGTCGATGATGTCATCGACGTAGACAACCAGAATCATGATGAAGTCTCCAGATTTGATGACGTAGATGCACTTATCTCCATTCAGTGATTTAAATCCAAGTTCTTTGAGTTTCTTATCCAACTTCTTAAACCATTGCCTGTCGGATTGATTCAACCCACATAGAGATGTCTTTAAACAATACACTTTTTCTTCCTCTCCTGGTTTGATGAATCCGTCGGCTTGTTCCATGAAGATTTCTTCATCGAGGTCTCCATTTATATACGCCATCACAACGTCCAATTGATACAAGGTAAGTTCCCATTCAGAAGCCAGAGCTACGACGATGCAAATTGAACTTAATCTCGCGACAGGGGCAAAAGTTTCCTGGAAATCAATTCCCGGTCGTTGGAAAAAACCTCTCGCCACCAATCGAGCTTTTCGACGATCCACACTTCCATCTGCGTTGAATTTAACCCTAAGGACCCATCGACAATCGATCGTTGGCCAAGTTTGTTTCCTGCTTCGAGTCTTCTTCAGGAATTTGCACCATGTTGAACAATTTTCTCCGCCTTCCACGTTGACCTGTTCTTTTGAGCGTTGAACGTTCTCGCCCCCTCTTAGTCTGATAAACTGGAGTTTTCCGAGGTGCAAGTGATGATGATTTATTGAAAGAATCTTGATTATCTTCAATTTTGCTATGATTTCTGTCCAAAATGTGATTCTCATCTTGATCTTCGGGTTGATCATGATTTTCAACTTGATTTCGATTTTCAATTTTATTTTCTTGCTTGTGATCTTTAGTTTGACTTCGCTCTTCACCTGGAACGTGATACTCAACTTGATTTTCAGCTTTACATTGGTTTTTATCTGGAACTCGACTCTCAGCTTGAATTTGATCTTCGAAGTTTTGCTCATCTTCGTCAACAGCTATATCATTCTCAATTGAAATATCAGATCGGGGGAACAACATCTCAAACTCCAAGAAAATATCTTCTTGCTTGCCTAGATTTGGAAGGCCCTTGGATTTTCCATAAGAAATGACGTCACGACTCTTAATGATCCTCTTTGATGTGGGATCCCATAGACGGTACGCCTTCGATTCATCCGAGTAACTAATCAAGACACAGATTTTGGATTTCGGTCCAAGTTTGTTTTTATTTGGATCTTTATCCAAAGCGTAGGCCCAGAATCCAAAAGTTTTCAAGTTAGAGACATCTGGTTTAAAACCAAATCTTGCTTCAAAAGGTGTAATACTGTTAAGACTCCTGGATGGACAGCGATTTTTTATATATGCAGAGGTGGCGATGGCTTCAGCCCAAAAGCTTGGTGGCAATCCAGATTTGATTAATAAGCATCTTGTCATCTTAATAAGAGTGCGGTTCATCCGTTCCGCCACTCCATTTTGTTCGGTCGTATGAGCAACTGTGCGTTCTCGTCTTATTCCAGCTCTCTCGATTTCCTCAGTGAACTTGGTCCCAAATATTCCAATCCATTGTCCGTTCGTAATGTTTTTATTTTACACTTAGTCTGGTTTCCAGCTAAAGCTTTAAAATTCAGAAAAAATCTTTTGACATCCCTTTTAGCTTTCAGAAAAGATACTTCGACATACCTAGACTTGTCATCAATGAACGTAGCGAAGGACGTAGAACCACCGATTGACTTGGTCCTCATTGGTCCACAGACATCCGAATGGACAAGCTCGAGTAATTTGTTGCTTCTTGTCAGTGATGCTTGAGGAAATGGCTTTGCACTTTGCTTCCCTAAAATGCATATTTCGCAGAATGGTAATTTTTTGGAAGAGTTAATTGACACACCTTTGATCATGCCTTTGACGCTGAGGTTTTTAAAATCTTTTTCATTCAAGCATTTCGCCATTATCAGAACTTGCAGCAGCTGAGCTTTCACTAAAATCATCGATGTAGATTACCTTTTTTTTCAGCTTTCACGACAATTTTACCTTGTGGATTTAATATTAATGCATGAGAATTTTTGAAATTTACATCATATCCGTTTGCAGTCGTTTTCGAATTAAATACACTACCGGTCAAAATTGAGAGAACACCTATTTTCAGGTGATTGAAAAACATTTTAAAACATAAAATGTATAGAAACTAAAATATTTTTATTTTTTGAAAGATGATAAAATTTTGAAAAGAACAAGATCTTTTAGAAGTCATTTGGCCAATATTTTATGTAGATATTTTTAAAAAATCGTCATTTTCAATGTCTTACAAAAATTTGAATAACTTCTAATATAATGAACGCTTTTTAATGATCTTAGGCTTATTCTAAAGGACATTTGCTACACTATAAGAATTACTTATAGGCAATAACGTGTAATTTTTTTCTTAGAAAATGCAGGCCGTCAAACTTGGACCAAAAAAAATCAAAAAATTTGGAACAATTTTTAAGTACTAAAAACTATTTTAGAAAATGTATAAAACATTATATGGTGTAGATTTTTCAAGAAAATTTAATAAAAAAAATACGTTTGAATTTAAAAAGTTATTTTTCTGTTAATAAGAATGTTTCAAATTTTTAATATTTTTTGGTTCAAGTTTAACGGCCTGCATTTTCTAAGACAAAAATTACACGTTAATGCCTATGAGTAATTCTTATAGTGTAGCAAATGACCTTTAAAGTAAACCTAAGATCATTAAAAAGCGTTTATTATTTTAGAAGGTATTCAAATTTTTGTAAAACATTGAAAATGACGATTTTTTAAAAATATCTAAATGAATTGTTGGCCAAACGACTTCTGAAATATCTTGTTCTGTTCAAAATTTTATCTTCTTTCAAAAAATAAAAATATTTTAGTTTCAATAAATGTTATGCTTTAAAACGATTTTCATTCGCCTGAAAATAGGTGGTCTCTCAATTTTGACCGGTAGTGAAATAAATTTGTTTTCAAATCAGGTACACATAAGGTATTATTTAATTTTATACTTTTGTGGTTGGAATCGTCTGACACAGATAAATGAACCGTACCTTTTCCAATAATTTCTTTTGCTATCGCTATTGATGCTTTCTCACTAACAGTTGCACAATTCACTACACTTTCCTCTTTAATAAATTCCTTTATAATCACACTATCCTCTTCAATAGTCGTTGAATCAATAATCGAAATAGCCCGTGAACGCTTCTTCCACGTTTGAAGAACTTTGTTTATTTTCATTCTTTTTCCAACATTCCGATGCTTTGTGTCCACTTTTACCGCAGTAATTGCACTTGTAACTTTTTCGTTGATTATTAGGTCCGTTTCGATTATTAGAATTGGTGAATTTTTGCTCGTTGTCTCGATTTTGCGAATTATTATTTTTGAATTGATGAATCTTATTTTTATTTTCGAATGTTTTTGCTTAAAAAGCTCCCTGTGAATGTTGTTCTCTTTGTGTAACTTTTTCCTTTCTAGCATTAAATTCCTCCAGGAGTTGTATTTTCAAAGCTTCAGGCGTTGGCAATTCGTCCCTAGCTTCTATAGCACACCGAAAATTTTCGTAGCTATTTGGGATACTGTAGAGAAATAGTATAGGAAGTAGATCTTCGGCCTCTAAAATCTCCATCTCGCTCAATTTATTGACGGTTCCAAAGAAATTGTCAAGGTGATCCATCATGCTTTCATTGTCTCGCATTTTTGTAAACAACTGCTGTTTTAACAGGGTTGCTCTGCGAACAGGTCCTCTTGAATGATAAACTTATTCAAGTTTTCTCCACACTTCGTTTGAAGTAGCAGAATGCTTGATATGACACAACTCATACGGGCATATGGACAAAATTAAGGCCTTGGATCGAATAACTTGCCCGACGCTCGGAGGAACGCGTAACTGACAGTCAGTGAGCGCCTCTGGGCCACTCACTGCTATCCGACTGGTATTAGCGCGTGCCTTCGAGCGTCGGGCAAGTTATTCGATCCAAGGCCTCAATTATATCCGCTTTGTCTTTCTGATCAGCCCTGTCCTATTTTATAACTGCTGGAATATTTGCTGCATCCACACCTTCTGGAACCTCTGGCCGAACAATTGTCCCATTTCCGTAAAGCCAATAATCACTTTTCACCAAAATTGCTTACATTTGTTACCGGTCACCGTGTGGAGGGAGGGGACCGGGCAAAGAGTTACAAAGTTTTAAGAGTATACTAATTGGAAACTAAATTTGGGTTTCGGTTTAAGTAGGAAAAGAATTAGTAGGAACTTTGGTGGGAATTTTTAGGACCAATGACTATAAATAATAAGCGTAATTTTAATAAATAAATGATAAATATATTCTGTAAACCCCCATTTCCCCAATGCGTTCTTTAGTGATAACGATGAGTGGATGAGCAAGCAAAATAAATAAAAACAAGGTTAATTAGCGTCGTTGAGATTTGAAACGTCGAACAACATTTTTAAGGCGTTGCTCATTAGTCTTCTTCTTGAGACTCACAGTCGGGGTTGGTGGAGGGGGATCCACGGGTCGATCGTAGGGGCGATGGCTTTGTGGATGCTTGGACAACGTGGTCCGTATTGAGCGAGGAACCTCCAGGTTCTCGGGAACGAGGACTGGTAGGTTCAAGAGGGACGGTATTGATACAGGAGCGGCTCCCCACAGTTGCTGACAATGAGACGGCTTTTCTTTGATGCAGACCAGTGGTGGAGTAAGAGTCCTGGAGAACGGCGACCCTGGGATTAGTTCCAGGATGTCGTCATTGTCTGAGAGGTAAAGCTGGTCCTCTAAGGCATGGAGGGCCTCGGGTAATAGACTTGACTGACCTCGGGTCAGATTTCGGCGGAGTGACAAGATTGACAACCACTGGTTCCTTTATCGGGGTCAGAAGGAGTTGAGGCGAGGGAGCTTCATAAGTAGCTGCCTTCAGGATCCTCGTGAGTGCAGCAATTCCTTTTATCTATCGACGTGGCGTTCCTGGAGCAGATGGTGCCCTTCGGCGTTGGTACGTAGGTAGAGCCGTCGTTGAGGAAGGTTCTTCCTAAGGGTAGATATGGTTCGTACCCTGGGGCCTTCCTC